ACTACTGTGAGTTGTGAAAACGTTAAGAAGTGGGCCTATCAGAGGTCTTCAGGTCATTGGTGGGGTGCCCTTGAAGCCAACAGTGGGACCCCAGCCTTGTTCTCTTATTCTCCACTTCCCCCAGGCTTTCCCAAGAAGATGTGCTGCCACAGGCCAAAGCAAAATGATCAACTGGCAATGAACTGAAGCCTCTGAAACCACAAACCAAAACAAACCTTCTCTCTTATGAACTTATAAAGTTGACTATCTCAGGTATTTTTTTATAGAGAAGGAAACAGACTAACATAGAAGTAGATGGGGCTATGGACACCTGGAGATTAGTTGACTTGCATATAAAAGGTAACAAAGTTGAGCCCTGTGCTATCTCCAAGAATTGGCTAACCCTGGGAGGGAGAACCTCTCAGCTGCCGGCAATCTTGGTAAGATGTGCAAACATCATAAAACACAGAAAATAAAAGTGTGATTAAGATACACAGAAATACAAATGTATTTTTATTAGCCCTAAACACAAAACCAAACAATGAATATTCTAGAAAAATAGAAGATAACAGTAAGCTTTGAAAAAGCCTTTTGACTTCAATCTTAGGTTGTAAATTAAATGCTCTATATTATGCTTTCCATGAGGAATTATTTATGAATTATGAAATCTATATAGTGTGATCAGATATATTTAAAACAAATGTCTTCAATTTACTATTAATGCTAGGGAAAGTCAAATAAAAAGTTAACATGATTATATTTATGAGCATTACAGTTGAAAAGAGTTAAAATGAAGAAGAAAAGTTTAATTATGTAAATTTCTATTAGAAAGGGTTTTCAATTTCATTGTTGTTGTAGCTGTAATAGAAGTTTGAAGTTCCTATCAATGAGTTAGGATGAAAAACAAAACAAAACAAAACAGGCTGGGGTACCCAATCTCTTAGAAAATAATGACAGTTTTTGATGGTAGTAAAAATAAGACTTTCTGAGTAAAGTTTATTTATTTATCAATCATAAAATAAGTAGGACATAATGAACCAATATTTTATTTTTATCTAAATAATGTAGATCATATTCCTCCAACTGCTTAAAAAAGTAAGGGAGAAATATCCATCTCTCTGTTAATATTCTGATAGCTTCTAGAAGAAATCCTTACCAATTCTAGTTTGTGAACTGGTCATTTACATTGTAAGTCCACCTTTAAACCACTAATCAAAAATAAATAAAAATAATTAATTGACATTTTGTAAGAGAGAATTCATTTCAATACCCCAGGAAAGCAAGACAAAATGGCTATGAATGTTAAAAAAAATCACGCAAAATTTTTCAAGAAATTATTATAGATTGTGTATATAGAATTAACTAAACTGAGGTGAACAGAGCTGCAAAAAGACACTCAGAGTTTCAGGTGATAATAACATTGTTACAATATACTAAACTATGTAAGGCAGTTGATTATCTAAGATTTTCAGAATTAATACTGAAAACAGTTAAAATCTGTAACAATTAACAGTTTTGAAATTACCTAGACTATATTATCCTAATATCTAAAATAGCTATCAAGCCCAAACTTCCTAATTTCCCATTTTGACACAACTCTTAAACCATGGGTAATGGTTTCACATATACAATTGGGACTTAGAAATCTCCAACTTCTGAATTTTTAAATGTGCTTTTATTAGTTATTCATGACATTAGAAATCATTTATGCACTTTGACATATCATTCATAGATGGGGTATTATTATTCATTTTTTTCTGATTGTACACATTGTAGAATCACATTGGTCATGCATTCATTATGTACATAAGGTAATAATATCTATTTCATTCTACTTACCCTTCCTACCCCGATATCCACTCCCCTCCACTCCCTTCATTCTGCTCAACCTAATCTAACTATTCTTCCCTAGTCCCCCCTTATTGTGAATAATCATCCGCATATCAGAGAAAAAATTTGGCCTTTTGTTATTTGGGATTGGCTTTTTTCACTTAGCATGATATTTTCCAACTCATCCATTTACAGTAAATTTGAACCTTCTTTAAAACTGAGTAATATTCCACTGGAAAAAAAATATCACATTTTCTTTATCCATTTACCTATGGAAAGACACTTAGGTTGGTTCCATAGTTTAGCTATTGTGAATTGAGCTGCTATAAACATTAACGTGGCTGTGTCACTGTAGAATGCTGATTTTAACTCCTTTGGATATAAACCGAGGAGTAGGATAGCTGGTCAAATGGTGGTTCTATTTTGAGTTTTCTGAAGATTCTCCAAACTGCTTTCCATAGTGGTTTCACCAATTTGCAGTCTCATCATCACTTTATGAGTGTACCTTTTCCCCCACATCCTCACCAATATTTACTGTTGCTTGTATTCTTGATGATTGCCATTCTGACTGGAGTGAGATGAAATTTTAGAGTAGTTTTCATTTGAATTTCTCTAATTGCTAGAGATGTTGAACATTTTTTCATATATTTGTTGATTGATTGCATTTCTTCTGTGAAGTGTCAGTTCAGTTTCTTTGCCCATTTATTGATTGGGTTAATTTTTTTATGTTAAGTTTTTTGAGTTCTTTATATACCCTAGAGATTAATGCCTTATCTGAGGTGCATGTGAGAAAGATTTTCTCCCAATCTATAGGCTCTCTCATCACATTATTCTTTCTTTTTCTGAGAAGCTTTTTAATATGAATCCATCTCATTTATTGATTCTTAATTTTACCTCTTGCACTATAGGAGTCTTGTTAAGGAAGTCAGTTCCTAGGCTGATAGGGTAAAGATTTGGGCCTATCTTTTGTTCTTGTAGACACAGGGTCTCTGTTCTAGTACCTAAGTCTTTTTTCTTTCTTTCTTTTTTTTTTTTTTTTTGGAACTGGGGATTGAACTCAGGGACACTGGACCATTGAACCACATCCCCAGCCCCTATTTTGTATTTCATTTAGAGACAGGGTCTCACTGAGTTGCTTAGTGCCTTGCTGTTGCTGAGGCTGGCTTTGAAGTCACAGTTCATCTGCCTCAGACATTTTCTTCAGTCTCCCAAGGCATTGCGATTAAGGCATGTGCCACCGTGCCCAGCAGTGCCTAAGTCTTTGATCCACTTTTAGTGCAGAGTGAGAGATAGAGGTTTAATTTCATTTTGTTACATGTGGATTTCCATTTTTCCCAGCATCATTTATTGAATAGGTTATCTTTTCTCCAGTGAATGTTTTTGGAAACTTTGTCCTGTATAACTGTATTTGTGTGGGTTTGTCTCTGTGTCTTTTATTCTGTATCACTGGTCTACATGTCTGTTTTGGTGCCAATACCATGCTGTTATAACTTTAAAGTATACTAAACTATGTAAGTACCCATATGTACTTTGGCTAATAGAATTGCATCAAAAATGCATTCCATAAGTCTGATCCTATATACCAAGGATCATAAACTCAAATGACTGCAGAAGACTAACAAAAAAAACATAAAGGTTTGATAGGAACAATAGGTATTGAACCATATGGATCTGTTCCAAATGTAATACGCACTTAGCTGTACTGTGTAGAACAACCCCAAAACTCCCAGAGCCACTTGCCACCAGCATACCACCTCTGTTCTATACATCACCATCTCTATCACTATGGAAGCTGCCAGAAAGGTCAATAACAATGAACAATGTTGTATCTGTAAGTATAAAATTCTGAAAGAGTCAGTAGTGAGGTTTCTAATGCAAGGTCTCTGATTCAGAATGTCACATGTTACAGAAAGTAATGGTGAAGGAACATGTGAGGATATTCACATATTTTTATTCTAATGGCTTCTTTAGTCACAGTTGATAAGAATCTTTAATTAGCCTTTTTTAACCTCTGCTTTTACTAGCAGCAGTAAATTGCATGAATTGCCTTGTCCTTTGAACAGACAAGCCTTAAAATAAGAACAACGCAAGAATCTAAGTGTGTAAGTTCCTGCATTAAGAGCTTTTATGAGTGTAGTTAATGGAATCTACAAACATTAGTGCAACTGGAAAGTATTACCAATCTGTAATATTTTTAAGCAAAGATGAATTCATTCAACAAATATTGTCTGTGTACCTGCTGTATGGCAGATATTTATTCTAGGTTCTGGGAAATCAGCAAAAACTCATTGAGAAGCTCATTAAATGAGTTTATTAATTCAATTACTTGTAGTTTAAACAATTAATATCAAAAAATAACTTGCATGGGCTCAAATTAGGTAAGTTTTGTAAAACTATATCTGTAACTGTGTTTTTCCACAGTCTCTCAAAAACCACCGGGGTTACCTTGGGCCTGTGCGTCACCTCTTTGTGTTAATTTTGTGAGTTTTAAGAGAAACAACTGAATTCATCCTGAATGCTAAATGCCTTATTATAGAAATAAAATGGGGCTGTAATTGCAAAAGACTTAAAAAATGGCAATATGCTGCATAAATATAAAAGAAGATTATCAATCACTGTTTCTTGCTTTGATTAAGGATGATGGAGAATTATAAATGAAAATTTTTATATATCCAAAATCAACAATATCAAATTGAAAATAACTTTACTATTTTAATGGTAATTAAGCAGTATTTCTGAATTCATATCATTGCAACTTGTGATGCAATTTTTAGACAATTAAGATGTCACAGTGGTTTTAATCCTTTCAAAGAGTCTCAGAGAATAAGCCACATCTGACAATTAGTAACATTTTACAACAACCGAAAATTCTCTTCTATCACCTTATTTATTGTTAGGGCAAAACATGAAAAATGAAGCATTCAAGGAAAAACAAATATCATCTAATACTATTAAAGAAACCCAAGAAATAAATATTAGTTAAATATGAATCTAGGACAAGAATTCACAAAATAGAATATTATAGAATAGTAAAATTTTAAAAATTAAGGAAAAGACAATTTTGTTCTTTCTATAAATCACATATTTTTTATCATGCATTGACTAGTCCATTCAACTTGTCAAAATTAAAATATTTCCAGTAAATATGGAAATTACTTTTTTCTTTCTTAGTGACTAGGCATTTTACTTACCATTTGGCGGCATCATGTTTCAGTTTGAAGTATATTTTCACTCCATGTTTAAACTGTAAATTAATATGAATTATGTCATTATTCTTTTTGATTTTATTTTTATAATTTATTTTATTTTTAAAATAAACTAGTTTCTTTTCTAAATAACATGCTAAGTTATCCACATGTCTCCTATTTTTTGTTGATTTTTAAAATCCTTCCTTTACTGACATTTTTATTTTCTTATAACATTAAAACTTTATTTCATAAAGGCCTTGGGTCATTATTTGGCATTATTACAAATAATACTTTGCTAAGGGAGAGAAACTTTCACAGGGTAGTGTGAATTTTTATGCTATTTATTTGCTTCTTGTATAATTTAACTTCTGCTACAAAATGGATTAATTTATAAGATAACTCTCCAATAGATTGATGTGAAAGTAAAGCAATAAATGAAGATTTGGGTAGAAGAATTTTAGACAGAAATGAGAACTACAATCCATACTCCCATCCCCACAGCCCAATGTGGTGTAGCATAAAGTGGTGCATGTCTTCAATTCACAATGGCACATGTTTAATGGATTAATTTTTTAGGGGGGGATGGGTACTAGGGATTGAACTCAGGGGCACTGGACCACTGAGCCACATCCCCAGCCCTATTTTGTATTTGATTTAGAGACAGGGTCCTACTGAGTTGCTTAGAGCCTTGCTTTTCCTGAGGCTGGCTTTGAACTTGCTATCTTCCTCCCTCAGCCTCCCCAGCTGCTGGGATTACAGGCATGTGCCACCGTGACTGGCTTTCAATGGATTAATTTTATAGAGCTGTTCTGATGTGAGAATGATCTCTTCTTGCCAAATTTATCTGTATCTCCACATTTGGAAATATGATTCATTTTTTAATCCTAAATATTTATTGTTGGATAATAACAGACTATACATATAATTTTTAAAAATTTACATCATATTCTACCTTTAATATTAAGAAACTAAAACCAAATTATCACCATGTGAAATCACTTCAATATATATTTCATGTCAACACAGTGAGTTAAGAAATCATAGTTAATTAGATAATATCTGTGCAACAGGTAAATTCAATGCAGATATGACAGTCATAAATACATTCAGATATAGCCATGTTGAATTAGCAATTCAAATACAATGAGTGCTATAGCTATAGATGACACAATTTCTCAGGAAGTTAAGTAATCTAATACACAATTTTTACTCTCTTCTATACTGAACATACTATTGTGAATCCCTTAGTACCCTGCCCACTAAAAATTATGTATTATTCTCAGTCATTTGTTGTTGTAACTATTTTATTTCTTTTAGTTTGGAGGATTTTTTTAAGATAAGCTCTTTCATTGAAATGTAACACACATAAAGTACACAGCTTGACAAGCTTTCACATAGTGAACATACAATAAGCACCCTTTAGTTCAAGAAACATTATAGAACCAAGGATGCTCCTCTTTTTCCCCATCCAAGTCACTAGATAGGTAGGTAGGTAGGTAGGTAGATAGATAGATAGATAGATAGATAGATAGATAGATTGTGTGTGTGTGTGTGTGTGTGTATGTGTGTTTGTGGAACAATCAAATCAGGAGAATAAGCATTTCCATCTATTCTTCTTCATGTATTGGAAACTTCTCACTCTTCTGGTCATTTTGAAATATATCATAGATTATTTTAGTAAATAGTTAAAACACTGTGCTAAAGAATAACCAAACATTATTCCTCCACTGAGTTTGGTGCCTCTTACTGAACTTCTTTCCATTCTTCCTCATTCTGCCCTTCCCAGTCTTTAGCAATCATTATTCCCATTCTTTCTTCTACAAAATCAACTTATTCATTCAACAAATGAGTGAGATTATGTGGTATTTGAGATCTTGATCAATTTTAAGTCATTACTATTATCATTGCCCCAATGATATTAGTGCCTTTTAGTGTACTGTGAGTAAAGATAATAGAATAAAATGTCCAATTATTTACTCAGACATATAGCAACTTATTATGAATTGATCAAGGCATAGTTTTATAACATGAAGTATTTGAAATAGAAGATCCTAAGATTTACCCCACTGTGATCTCTTTAGGATGACATAATTTGACTATCAGGTGGTCTTAGTCATAACAGTACATACAACCATACAAGGTGAAAAAGTTTAAGAAGGTGAATTTTTTTTTTGGCATCCAAATGTTGCATGTTTTCTATTTTACTTAAACCTTCCTAAATAAATAATTATTAAAATAAATTTTAGTCCTCAAGTCTTGTAATCCTCACAGAAATTTCATTTCCTTCTGATTCCATTCTGATAATGAGAAATTCATATGCTTTTGCAAACAGAATACCGGTATGTTTCACAATGAGATCTAATATGGTCACACTGTACTTGCGCAATCATTTCTGTCTCTACATGATATGAATTGGATCTCTTCCAAAACCCATTGGGCCATTTATCCCATTTCTTGTCTTAAAATGTTACATATGCCAATTATCTTCTAAAATTTCTGTTTATATCCATCATGTATATTGTAGCATTTTAGCTTTTCAGTAAATCAGAAAGTCCTTGTTTTGTTATAAAAATTGAAAACTGAAAATGCTTTAGGAACGCTTTAAAAACTAAAAAATTATAAATGAATCCATTTATAAAAATCCATTTATAACTTCCTTTCTTATGTAAAAAATCAGAAGGCTCTAGAAATTATGCTGACTCTGAGAACACACATGTAAGAAGATAGAGCTAGAGAATTGAGATGAGAAAGAAATCTAAATATTTTGAAAATGTTTTGAGAATATAATATTGTATGTTCACTATGTGAAAGCTTGTCAAGCTGTGTACTTTATATTTCTTTTGTTATTTTGACATGTGTACTCCAAAGAGGAATATGAATCTGAGTACTTAACCTCCTTGGATATGACAATAGAAATTCACTAATAAAAGTATATTTTTCTCTTTAGTATTTGTCACATTTTATACAGGAGCAGAAACCAACCTATGAATAACTGAATGTATTGTTTTACTTAAAAATGTAATATTTATTAAAAATAAAGACTAGATATGTATACTAATCTCTCCATTTTTATTTGGCTAGCTGATGTTATCAGTAGGTTTATCTTTACTGCCATTCTCAAACATCATAGTCATTCCCACAAATTTTGTAGTTTTAGTTATGAAAGGTGTAACTATTGTCTCCCAAATCTATCAATATTTGCTTCCATCTTTGTATATGGCAAGACCTACAATTTTGAAAGTGAAGATAATGTTCCTGCAAATTTTGGTCAAAATCAGAACTCTCCTTTGGAAGATCTCACTACAGAATATCAGCTAAAAATTTGACAAAGATGAAACTGGTCTTTGGCACCCCCACCATAATTTCTTGCCTGCTAGTCTCTTAGACATCTCACCTTAACATCTAATTCATATTCTAGGCAAGGGATCTACCACTGAGCCACAATTCTAGCCCCGCAACTCATATTCTAAAGATAACTACATCTCTCCATTAATTTAGTGCCTACCTTTTTTTCTGTTTTGTTTATTCATTGCAATATTTCTTAAAATGCCAATTACAAGTATTTTGAAAGTAATGCTTATTTTATAGAGAGGTTTACATTTGTATGAAGTTCAGAGGACAGCCCTCTTGCCTCATTATACAAGCACTACCAACTGTTAACTAGTGGGCTGGCACCTCACTGGCTTACTGGTTTTGAGATCCCCCAGAGTTTAGCTTAGTGACTGGCACCCAGAAAGGATTCAAAGTTCATCGTTAAACTGAAGAAATGCAGCTGATGACTGGCAATCTAGAACTCCGGGTTTATTTCTATTAATGAACTACTAACATCTTCTATTCAATCTTTTCAGCTGGAGTCCAAATCGCTCAAGTACTGGGATCTTTTCTTTCTTAAACACCTGAGCATGAGACTTCACATATATATTTGTCCTTGATAACTCACTTATTTGTCGAAACTTAATAGAACTCAGTATTGGAAAGTAAAATATGAAGAATAAAATAAGAGGAATAAAAAACGTACAGTAGGACTGGGATACTGAAAAGGCAAAAGAAAATGTTTGACAAAGTAAGGTCAAGAGTCCAGTTTCTTGAGCATCTTTGGAGCTTTCCGGTGTGCAGGTTGCCTAGCAACATCGCGAAAGGCCTCGCCCACCACCTCCCCGGTCCCCGAGTCCCGCCCCTGACCCACTCGCACCTCCTGGGTCTAGTGAATTTCCTTACTTCCGACCCAACCTCCCAGTGGAGCCTAGGGTCCTACTCTCTAAGCTCAGACGTATTGTGCCTTACTAAAAATGTAACATAAATTAACTGAACTTAGAAAAGCAGTATTTGTATGTAACTACTGCTATGTTTTCAGAGAGAGAAGTCTAAAATCCGTGATATTAGTGACTTTGGGGCCTCGTCTACCTTGAGAATCTGAAACCAGTTTTCAGGCAGTTCTGTGGACAGCAGCAGCTTTGGAGGTCCCCAGTTTGCGGAGGGAGACGTGGAGCTGAGTCGGGAGGGGCCCAGACGCTTCCTCACTGGTGAGGGCTTGGAGCTACTCCGCCAAATTGGCTTGGGGTGTCCGCTCAGACCTACTCCACCATGTAAGTCTTTGCTTTCTAGGCGCCCCAGTCCCCGATCCTCTACCGGATCCTAATTCTCTCCCTCGCTCTTTCTCAGGTCGAAGGTTTCCTTTAAGATTACGCTGACGTCGGACCCACGGTTGCCATATAAAGTGTGAGTAGCTGTGCCGCGGCGAGGGCCTGTGGTCTGGGCGAGCCGGTGCTGGGCTGGACACTGTCGAACTTTTCCAAGGATTCCCACCCTACGCAGCTTGCTTCCCTTCCCTCCCTTTGCCCAGTCCGTGCCCTTCCAGGAATCCTTCCCGCTGGAACCCTAATGAAGAGGTCCCCGCATGCTCCCCTGAGTGACAGCTGGGCCCTCGCACAGGGGTAGGGCTGCGTGACTCTAGCTTATCCGGATCCCCTTTGGAATTCCTTTGGTGAACGAGGGAGCGGGAGGATATTTGAACAAGGCTCTGGTCCTCTTGAACAGCCCCTCACTCCTGGTGATTGCAAAGTCCTAGAGCCACTTTGGCAGCTGTTAGAGGAAGTTAGGGAAGACTTCCCAGTGCAGACTCTGAAGTTACTTGACCGCTTGTTGTCAAGTTTTTTATTTTGTTGTGTATATGACTCAACAGGATATCACAAAGTAATTGAGCCTCAAGCCACACACTTCCTGTGTTGAAAGTTAATAAAGAACGTAAAATATTAATTTCAGGCACTGTCTTACAGGTTACTACATTCTCTCCTTCCAGCTGATTTACCATAATGACTTATACAAGACTTTTTTAATCCACTGATGACAGTGGCTTTTTATTCTATCACTCTCCACTCCCCAGTGCCATATCCCACTTATTTTTCCCTTATCCAGCTCATAGTTTGTGGTCCATTTTAAAAATCATTCCCTTGCAAATGCCCTCAATTCTGATGTCCCCCTTTCTCTTCCTGACATATTTTGCTTCATGAGACACCAACTCTTAACCATTTTCATTTTCTATTTGTGATTGAATATTCCTGGAAAATATGTGCTTTGTATAAAATTAATAATGAGCACTCTCCTGTATTCCTCAAGCGTGCTCATTTTTCTCTTATTGCCAGAAAGGATTTTATAAAAATTTCAAAACTTTCCACAACTCCTTTTCCCTTTGCTATCAAGATAATAGAGGAGGAATTCTCTCATTTTTACCATCCCCTCATCTGTAAATTTACTACATAGCTATAAAACCATAGTGTCCTCTGTGCATTTACAGTCAAAACATATCTACCCCTATGAAAAGCTGCCAACTTGGAAAATAAAACACATTGCCACATTGGGTAAAATAATGTTTAGATGAAAGGCAATAAAGTGGACTGAGGAACAAGAAGAGATTTAAACTTCTTGAAATCTGTCTCTAGAAAGAATTAGCTGATATGTTAAACTTAATTGTATCAAAAAAGGTAAAATACATAAATCTACATCTGTGGTCATTAACTTTCAATTTTAAAGTTTTAAAAGTTTTCAAGTGGGTAATTGTTCTAAGGCTAGTTGCTTCCTTTTTTTAAAATTTTAGAGTCAATGAAAATAGTACTGTAATCAAAACAAATAATTCTGAAACTCAAAAGACAACTTTGTCTAGATCACTTACAATGGAAGAAATAAGAAAAAAAGGTTCTTGAAATAAATACAAGTTTTTAACATTCTTTAATTCTTCTTCCAGACTTAGTGTACCTGAGAGTACACCTTTTACAGCAGTCTTAAAATTTGCAGCAGAAGAAGTAAGTATGGAAATTGGAATTATCTTTATGTAATACAGTTTAGCAATGGCTTTCAAAAATTTTTGAGTTTGTATGTATTGTGAACCTTATGGGTTTGTATGTATTGTGAACCCTATGGGTTCATTGTTATGTTTATGATAACAGTGAAAGTTAAGGCTTACTTTTAGACCAAAAAAAATGAGTTGAACAAATTGTCACACCAGTTTTATGCAACTGTTAAAAACTGTAAGGAGAATTTTCCTTGAAATTGAAGATAGTGAAGATATGTAAACTTTGAAAAGAAACAACAACTTTATGTCACTCTAAATTTTGTATACTAATTTTTACTTGTTTTGATTCTGGAATTATATATTTTTAAAAAACATTTTTATCATATTTTCTAAATCTTATGCCTGACCTTGTAGATTCTGAGTAAAATTATTTTGAAAAGTGTCTAGTTTTAAAAGGTGAAGTTTTTAGCTGTTGAGAAATAAAAAATTTTTCATCCATTATCAGAAACATGTATAATCAAATTTTTGGATATGACTCATGGAAAAGTAGAAATGGCACTGAAATGTAACTTGGGAGACTGTAGATCTCTTATTTTAGTTATGTCATTAAGTAGCTGTATGCTATAATAAATCCTTCAATTCCTTTCTTCTCCACTTTGCTGGTGTATGTGTGTGTGTGTGTTGGTTCCTCCTCCCACCTTCTTTGCTGTAGATCAAACTCAGGGCCTCACCCATGCGAGGGAGGCTCTTCACCACTAAACTACATTCCTAGCACTCTTTCTTTATCAATTTGTAAAATTAGTAGTGAATGACTGTCCTTCCTATCTGATTAAGTAATTTTGTATAAAGATATAATACCTTTTACCAAAATTTTATGGGTAATTAAAAGTTTTAGATAGGTTCAGAGTAACCCAAAACCAAATGTTTTGGTCTTAGGAAAGTATAGTCATATAAAAATCATGTTAATAATTAAATAAACAAGAAACATGATTAACTTATAACCCTTCCCTGTATTTGTGTGGTTATTGAGAAGTCAGCCTACTAGTTACTGCTCTTAGCTCCTAAACTAATGTTAGTTCACTAGCATCATTTGTTCCTTACTTAGAATTAAACTACAAAGTTTTATAGTCAATTTTGATTTATTCTTTATGCAAAAAGAATGGGTAAAATAAGATGAGACACAGATCTGAATACAGGATGTTATTATTGCTTTGCTGCATGCATCATTTGCAAGAAATATTCCCTGTCTTGGGCATAGTAGGTTTCTGATTTAAGAAGCAGATCTGCAAAAGTTACAATAAATCATTATTATTATAGTATATTTTTTAGTTATTTTATGGTGTATCTTTTATAATTTTAATACATTGTTATAATCTTGGTTTTCTCAGGAAAGTAGAAGAAAATCCCAAGGGACATATAGTAGAAAATAAACTAACAACATTCACTCAACCATATATGTTAATTAAAGTTTTGATGTAGCATATAATTATGAATTGTGAGTACTACATATTTTGAAAGAATATGACTTCAGGCAGAGGTGAGAAGGGCTCTCACAGAGAAGCTAATAGTCCAGATTTAAGTCCCTAATAAAATTATTTTAATAAACAATAACAAAATTTCCTATTACGTGACTCGGAATTAACTTCACTGAGTTGTCAAAACTTCAGAAGAGCTTCTTAGCATCCTAAATTTAAAGAATTGTTGAATTGGAATAGAAAACAAAACTGAGAACATTAAATATTGTATCTAAGGGAAAACATGACAGTAGTGTAAGATCAGAAGATTACTTATTGTATTTGACATCACTAGTGACACCCAGCCCAGGTTTCACCTTAATCATTGCTTCTGTATTTTGGAGAAGAGACTGTGTTAATAGTTGCTTTTGGTTTAAAGTTTATAAAATACTCAGCCACTAAAAAATGTGATTTAAGAAAATACACAATGTATGTTAAAATGGACATGATTTAAGAGTTGAGTCATGATTTAAGAGTAAGTAGAGTAATTGAAAACTTTGTAGGATTCTTTGAAAATCTGAGTTGTTTAATAATTTGGTATTTGATCAGAGCTTTATTAAGAGTATTGCTTCAATATAAATGTTTCTCAAACTTAGCGGTCATCAAACTGAATGATAATATTCTATAAAACTAGTACATACAGACATGCTTAATAAATATTTGTTGGATAAAATGAATAAACTATAAAGACATGAACACTTTGTCAGCTCCAGGTCTCTAGAGCATTACAAGATGGACTCTCCCTTATCTACCAATAAGTTCTATCCCTTATCCTTTGATTCAAAAAGCACATCTTTTTATAACATCTCTGAAGTAGGTCAGGAGTGTCTTCGTATCGCTGTTGCCCATGTAGCAGTCACATAATTGTCTAATGGACATTACCTGTACCTAACTGAACTTCATAGTTATTTCCTAGCAACATAATTGGAATATTATAGTCCTTTGAGATATACATCAACAAATCATTTAAGGAGATTTTGAGGAAGGAATATGGGCCTTGGTGGTTATCTAAAAATCTTCTGGAGGTACTCCCATTAAACACAAGAGAGCATCTGTTTGAAACCTGCCATTTCTATGAAGAAATTATAGAAATATTTTCATCAACTATACTTATTATTTTGCTTATGTAGGAGAATTATGCATGATAAAGGTAAAATGTCTAAGCCAAAAGAATAGGCCTTGATTGGACCATAGATTGACAATGTTTTCTTTTGTATTGTATATAAATAAGGAATGTTTTACAATTATTTGGTCTCCTTTATGCGGTCAAATGCATTATTTAGAGTACAGGGCTCTTTATTAAAGCAAATTGTGCTTGCTTTAATGTCACTTATTCTGAAAGATTAATCACATACATTTTGGGATTTTAGAATTGGTGATATGTATCCCATCCTTGTTATTCTTCTTTGGTAGTTACACATTTTTTTAAATTTATTTCCTTTTTCCCTTTTAGTTTAAAGTTCCTGCAGCAACAAGTGCAATTATTACTAATGGTAAGAATTTACTTTAAAACTATTACTTCAGAGATACAGATATTGTTTAAAAGAAATCAAATTAATTAACAATAACTTATATCCAAAAAGCCCAAATATACTAATATAAATGATAAAGTTAATGGTAAACAATGCCAGGATTATTGTATCAGAAAATGCTCTAGAATACAGGAACTTAAGCAAGCATGTTCTTTTATCATGCCTTGCTTTACCTATCCTGGTAGAAAACTCTTCCAAATTTGTAGTATTTTATCCATTTAGGGATACAGTTGTAAAAATTTGAATATCTTTGAATACTGATAAAAGTTTAGCATGATGGAACTATTCTTATGATGAAATAGTAGAATAAGAAAATGGGAGTGAAGCTTGCATGGAGGGTTTAATTGTCTTTCAAGTATACAGACTAATATAAATGGGTGAGCAAGTGGTTTAAGTACAGTTAGAATACTAAGAGAGATGAGTTTAAAGTATGGTATCATGATGTAACTTAGATATGTCAGAATTTCTTACTATGAAATATGCTGTAATTAAATTGAAGTGTTTCTGTTAAGTTTTCCTACTTTCTGGAAAGTTTTAGGTTCACAAATGAATAAGTCAAGAAAATATTTTGAAACTTTCAAATTGTAATTGGAACTTTAACTAAATGACTTTGTGTACCCTACCACCCTTAAGATTTCATATCTCAAACCAGAATGGAAATTATTAATGGCATACCTAAGATGTCTTTAGCTTTTTAGAAGAATTGACAAACATTTTTATGCTTTGTAGCAAAACAGAATTAAAAAACTGTGTCTTCCATAGAATTTATTAGACTCATCACATTGACAGCTATTTTTGTTTAATACGGCAATGTACATAAATACATAACAGTAGATTTAAACAGGTAACTTACCTGGAAGATTCTCACTCATGTTCTGGGGTTTATACAGCAGCACTATATTGGTAAATCTCTTCTGGTTCTTTAGAAATAACTTACATGACTTTATAACTTGTTTTCTAGATGGAATAGGAATAAATCCTGCACAGACTGCTGGTGAGTATCTATTTGAAAATCATGAAGTAGGAGTGAATTATATGTCTATTGATGATGAGTATTTAATTCATTCTAATTAAAGATTTTCAATAGGTTGTAGCTCTTGTTTAGGGAAAGTTTTTAACTAATACATAACAAAATGTATGAAGGTAAGATTGTACTCTCATAGAAATGATAATTTTGGCCTCTTAAGGTAGTTGTGAGGGAGCAGGTGTTTAATGTTTACATTATGCATCCTTAGCATGCAGTAGGTCCTAGCTATTATTATTTTATTTTAAAGAACATAGTCATTTACATGTAACAGGGTTGAGTCCACACTCCAAACTTCTAAACTGTTACACATAATTCAGAGTGACACATTGATGTTCTAATCAACATGCAAAGTAAAAGTCCTTGTTAAAAGTAGTCTTAAGCTTTATTAAAAAAAAAAAAACTTATTATTTCTGAAATATGTTCTTTTAGGTTAACCATCTAATTTTAATGTTCTGAAATTACATATGATTTAATATAATATAACCTCATTCTTAAATAGTAGTTACTTTTAAATTACTATATTTTAAGGTATTTTTAAATTATAATAAAAAAAAATTTTCCTTAAAGACCACTAGTGAAATTTAGCCATGTAGAAAGTAAGGAATGATATAAAATTGTAAATTGTTAATTAAATCAACAGTTTTAAGTGTATATATTTTTTTAATTGAAAAGGGCTTTTATTGAAAATTGTGAGTCATTTTATTATATACATGTATTCAAACTTACTAGATTAAGGTTTTGTCTTATTCTGGAAATTTTATGTAGCATATGTTAATTTTAGCTATTACTTACTCTAATATTATGCTTATTATATTACATTTCAAAATTAATTTGTGTATCTCACTGGACATGAAGAAATCTCAGTTAAAATTGACCCAAAATAGATTCAGAGTATCTAGATTTTTGTAATTTATGTAACTTTTGTCTTGTGATAATTTAATTTTTTTTCTGTCTTTAGGTATTCTATTGTGTATTAAGTCAAGTATTCATGATGAAATTAATTCTTGTTATTTGCACATTGTTAGTATTTTCATGGCTAGTGTTCTTATTTACAATTTTAAAGCAAACATTTGTTGGTTGTAAAGCTATGGGAAGAATAGGAACAAAACTTTAAAAGCTTGGGATTGAGCCAAGTATGATGGTACACACTGGTAATTGCAGCTACTAGGGAGGCTGAGAGGCAGGAGGATGGCAAGTTGCCTCAGCAGTTTAGCAAAATCCTGTCTCAAAATTTGAAAAAAAGTGAGCAGGAGTACTGGGGATATAGCACCTTGGTAGAATGCTTCTGGGTTCAATTCCCCAGTACCACTAAAACAAAAAAACAAAACATTGGAATTGGATTCTGATGTTACTTGATCTTTTGCACCCACTTTACTTTTTAATACACTGTTTGTTGTATGTAATAATCGTTGGATTATTAAGATAACTTGTCAATTTGTCATTTTTAGAAACCTAACTTTATGTTTTATTTGTTTGTGTAGGAAATGTTTTTCTAAAGCACGGTTCAGAACTTCGAATTATTCCTAGAGATCGTGTTGGAACTTGTTAATATCTGCTACTTGGAACATACAACTACTTTTCAGAATAAATATTGGTATTTTTTGTTGTTGTAAATTTGAAATCAGGCATTTAGCGTACTACGAAAATACGAGACGTCAGTGAAACAATGAAAAGTGGACTCTTCTGGTCCCTTCTTTGTTCATGATCTTCATGTGCAGAGGGAATGCTTGTGAGTAGCGGGAACTGCCACCACAGAAGGTCTTAGAGTTGTTGATTGCTACCTCACAACACAAGTACGGAGTTCATTTGTGAAAATGGATTATCCAACTGTGTTTTTTACCTGGATGATTCTGATAATTCTTTCTGGAGAACTTTTGGAAAATTAAAATTTACTTAATCTTATATATTTGTATTTGAGTTAAAAATGTAAAAGGAAATGAGTCATAGATGGAAGTTTGCTAGACAGCATCTGACTCATAAATAGTTTGATTTTTAAGTGTATAGTTTGTGATGATGATGATAGACATATCAATGATGGTTAACTGTCTTGACTTTATCATTTAGTTTCGTAAGTTTTAGACTTCATGTGTCATGTAAATTACATTTAATTCAGTACCAGAGGACCAAAAATCTTACTTTTGATCTAACCTTTATGTATATAAAGTCACATCCCACAACAAATAAGTCTTTTAACAGTCATCTTGGCAGAATCCAGTATATGTAATAGTGGGAATTGACAATGCAGTACAAACATCCTTTACTGAATTACGCATTTCTGTATCAGTCTTGTGTAGTACAATGTTTGAGACAGAAATCTTCTAGAAACCATTGTCCTTTGGAGGATAATATTTCCAAATAACTTTGAAGAAGAGAGTGTTGTTGCAGAGAAAATATGAAGAATACAACAAAGTTTAAAGATATCAATAGAAAATTCCAATGAAAAGTGCTAATATTTTTCAACCAAATGGATAAGAAACCAAGTAAAGAAAGATGAGAAACATGAGAAAGACTGGTTGACGAGGCTTTTGCAAGGAGGAAAGCAACAAGTACCCAAGGAAGAGGAAAGTAAAGTGTCACAGAAATAGCCAGCTGGTTGGACAAAGCTGTGGAGGGTATGTTGGAGAAAACTGAAAGTGAAAACAAAATATTTGACTTAATCTAAGTAGCAGAAGGCAGTTAGACAGAGGGCCTTGCCTGCATACAGATTTCAAAGTACCCCTTATGACAATTCAGAGAATATAATAAAAAATTATACTTGATCTTACAGAGGATATCAGTATCTAGGTATGTCTTGAAAGATAAAATGAAGGCTTTTAGTGATTCAAAATCATTTCTTGACGTGCTGTATTTTGAATGACAAGCTCCCTAGAGGCAGGGCTTATCATGTCAGATTCTTTCTAGAGCTGAGAGTGTAGTAGACATTTGGTAAATACTTGGTGAGTTATTCATGAATAAAGTCTAAGACCAGTTTTTATCTTAACATGTTTCAGTGTCTTCCCTGTTATAGTTCCTAGGTTTGATGGGGAAGAAATAAATACAAGAAAATACAACTGAATCATCTTAAGGGTGACATCGGTAGTTTAAAAAATTACCAAATATCATTCACAGATTTAATGAACAGCAGGATTCTGAATTATCAAAGTAAGAATTTTTTTTTTTTTTGCCAAGTTAAAAAAATATACTCCTAATGTTTGGAATTTCATATATATTTTTTATATATGAAAAAAACAGTGATATGATGCTTAAAAGCCCTTAATTCTTATTATTGAGCATAAGTTAACCAGAAAGCTATGAATAACTATTCCCTGAATTTGGGGCTTAATTTAAAATTTCTTCCATTTTGCTTCTAATACAAAAACCTTTCTGTTGTTTGCTTAGATAAGTTTATTGTGTTCTGTGCCATAAAGTGATTTATTTAATACTTTTGTTCTTCAGTTTTGAAAATTAGATTGCAGTTCTCAAAAACCTTTCATTGAGATATTTTGTTACTAAACAATTATGATCCGTAAGCTCTTTGTGCAAAATATTTTGAAGTATTGTATTTTAGTTTAATTAATAGTCCATAATTAATATCTTATGAAAGTACTTTTGTTATACTGTAAACCATATTGCCTATTATTTTATTATTAGAATTCTTAATCAGCACACCGGTTGTGCCAGTTTATTAAAAATGTAATTATAAAAAGCAAAGATAATTAAATACCATAAATCATGGATAAGAATGTATATTTCCAAGTGTCAGTTTATTTTACAAAATAAAAAATTAAAACTCTGAAGAAGGGGTGATAGTAATTAACTGTACTGGTAGGTCCTAAACCTGGGTGATTATCAGTCATGTAGGGAATTAAAAATACAAATTTCTGGAAACCACCCATTAAATTCAAGTTATTAAATCTGGAATAGTGTAAAAGAACCTCTTATAAAAAAGTTCTGGTGATTTCTGCAGTGCAGGTGATTTTAGAACTAATAAAATCAACCTTTTTACTATCTACCATACATTTTTACCCAAGCACTTGAAATAAATTGGAAGAACTAATATACTTTAATGTAGTGACTCTAAATTAACTGATATTAATGTTCTCAGGGCCACTTGTAAAACCACAGGAAACATGATTTATCTATGGATTATATTGTTTGAAGGATAATTTTATTTATGTTGTCTCATTCTTCAAACTGCTAAATTATTGTCTTCACTTTATAGAAGAAGAAAGAGGCTTAGTTAGGTTGAGATTTGAAATTTGAACCCTTATTTTGACTTTGACATACTGGGAGAAATTTATAGTATTCATTTCTTGTAATATACTAGAGCTGTGTTGAATTAGGAGTTACAAAAATTACAAATGTAAGTCTTAAAATTATATGTCAGTACTAAATACACATGTAATAATAAGGAACTATATTAATTTTTAACATGGTATGATGGTATAAATATAAAGTTCTAGGGCATTAAATATGAACTAAACATGAACTAAATAAATAAAAATGATAATACTGATAGTACTCCGTAGGTGGCATTGTAGAAGTAGGAACTGTCTCTCTCTTTTCCTCAGCCCCATCAGACCATTTGTTTTTTTAATCTTAAGTATCACAGATTTAGCTGTGAGACTACTTCCCTAATAACCTACTCTTCCCACCAGATTGTTGTTCATAAGCCCCTCTAGAATACAGAAATTCTGGAATTGTCCTCTGTTGGTTAATGCTAGAGATGGATGAAACATTATTTAAACTGGGACATTTAATTAGACTATTATTGAAATAAATATTCTTAAAAGGCTCGCTCTTAACATTCACATCCTGAAAACTGTCTGTATACCAGATATGTTTTACTAATCATGATTCCATCCATTCTTCAGTTAAAGCCCTTTTTATATTATTAAAAAAGCCACTGTTATTCCCATTTCTTATTTCACAGTTGCCATAATGAGCTTTTTGACCTGATTGTGTACTTCCCACTAAAAAGTTCTGCTAAATAAAAATGCATACTTTCTATGACACATGAGGCCTTTTGGAGTTGTTACTACTGCTTTCCTGGTTTCCTTCTTTATGCTCCAGCTACGTTCAACTGCAGATGATACTTAGTATCAGTTGTGCCCGTTCTTAGCATGCAGTGCCTTTACTTTCCCATATGTGTACCTGGAAAATACAGAACTCATTTTTCAAGTCCGAAAGCCATTGAGCCTGTCTTCGCCTCTTCTAAGCAGAGTTAGGAATTTAACTATGTAAGCAACCAGTGTATTTTGTATATTTCTTTATTACAGCTCTTATTAAATATAGAATTATAAGTCTAAGATCATGACTGAAACTGGGTTTCAGAATTGCCTTACTCATAACAAATACTTTGAAAGACTACATAAAAGAAAGACAAATATATTAGAAATTGAAATTATTTGTATTTTGTCCATAGTAACTTCTTTAGACAAGATATTTAATCAACTAGTATATTCATATTTCTATTGAGGTGGAAATTTACTCTCACTCTCAGAAATGAACTAATGAGTTAAAAAAGTACAAAGTATTCTATCATTTTAAAAATATATTAGCTATAAAATATGCTGGATATTAACTACTGAAGGCAAAATGTAACTAAGACATATTTCCTTTTCTTGGACTTCTTGGGATTTATCCATTTCAAAAGAAAAAAAAAACAACTATCTGGTAAAGGAGTCGTCATAGACATGAAGATATATATCAGATTATCAGATGCTTCTTTATGTACTAAGTACAGGTCACCCCAGGCGTTTCACATGCATTCTCTCATTTGATTGATCAAATGTGTTTATTTCTTTACTGTTAAGGGAGCTGAGACAATTGTTAATGTATTCAAGACTTGACTATAAGGTTTATATGATGATAACCACACACAATCATATTTTACATCATTTTTCATAGAATTATATTTAAATGTTTCAAAATGAGCACATCTGGAAGGAGCTTCATAGATTGCTATTGAACATTACTATGATCTCACTGTGCTTGGAAATTTTAATAGTAACTACATAAACATTGGCACTTACAGATTCCCTCTTAGTAAGCATATTCATTTATATACCACAGTTGTGAATATTTGAAAAGTAGGTTTATGACCTATTCTCTGCTTTCCTATATAAAAAGTGCTTTAATTTTGTCACTGGATGCAAAACACTGGCCAAGGTTGGCAGCAAATGTAGAGAGCCAGTGTTTTGGCATAGATATCTGATTTTCTGGCAAAACTCTTTTAGCAATGTAAAAGCTGTAATTGAGAGCATATTGTGATGATACATCATGTCAATATTTGTTTGGCTGAGTAACACTTGGATTTAATAAATTCTTAAATGCACAGTTTACAACTGATGAGCTGTTTTAGAAATCAACTGTATGTATTGTTTGTTGTCAGTGCCACAAACATTTTGACAAGTCTTAAATGGAGTTGCTTGCTTCTCTGAATTTTTAAGATAAATGTATGGACAGATTAGGACTTTTGTAGTTATTCTCAGATGCCCACATTATGTAGGAATGAAACATAAGAAACAGTGAATGAATACATGGGCAAGCTACAGAGATAAATTACCAAAAGAGGATCACCATGTGTTTGTAGGAAGCTACATCCTTGAGCCTGGAAAGACTGTTTCTCACAACAGTGGGAAATGAAGGCCTTGGACAGTGTGGGCATTGTGATCTCTGGTGACTTGTAGTCAGTTCCACACACGCTTAGTAAATTTAATCTTGAATTTCTCTAATCCTACCATTTGAATTGGAGTAGGGAGCAAAAGAAGTAAGAGATTTCCCTCTTTAAGAGATTTCTGAGGGCTTAATTGCAGATGCTTTGCAATATGGAAATAGTGATATTCCAAATATCTTGACTTAATTTTTAAATTATGCTAACAAGTTATGAAAAGATTATTATTACCTATGAAAAGATAATCTCTGTATTTCACAGAACCTTTTGTTTGGGGAGAGATCCTCTATAATGTAATCCACCTCCCTGTGATTCCGTAGAAAGATATATTTTTGAAATCTTTATTTAAAAGTATTTTACAGGAACTTTAATGAAACAAGCCAGATTCCAAAGATGCCATCATCTTGCTGTAAACAAATAAATAAATATAAAATTCCAATCTATTATCCCTTACCTTTTGCTTCCTGCTTTTCATCTTCATCCTTACTTGCATGAAAAAGACATCTGTCTTGTTCTGGAAAGTTGTTAGATTTTCATAAAATGCACTTTCTTTCCTCCATTTTGAAGCATTTTTTAAAATCAACTAAGTCAGTATTTGGCATTGTAACCTTATCCTCAATCTGTCTAGACAGACTTTGCATTTCTTTGCTTTTTGAGTGTGAGATATTTTTTTTTTTTTTAAACACTAACAGTAATGCCTGTTCTGGTTTCAAACAGATCTATACATCATCTCATAGTCTACTTGGCTATACTACTATGTAGTAAATTTAAGTTAACCTTTGCAATCACAGGACGTGAAGAGCATCACAGAATAGAAAAGGTTTTCCCCATATTATCATATGCAACTGGACTTTAGTTTTTTAGTATATACTTCTAGATGTATTCATAATTGAGGATCAATAAGAATTTTGTGTCAATGAAATATATAGTTCAGTCTTCTCCGGGTAATTAACATAATCTCTATTTTCATGTGTTTCATGTCTTGGAATAAAATTAGTTAATAATTAACTTGCAGGGGTCATATAATTAGTGCCAAGTGAATATGACAGATAATGTCACAGTGATTCAAAGAATTATTGAAAGCTGTGCTGTTATAGAAGATTTAGCAGCAATGAGGATAATTTGAGCAGGAGCTTAATGAGAAGACATATATGAAGGCACTCATGAATTAGTCAACAAGCATACTTTGAGCACTTAGATCCTGGACATTTTCTGAGCATCAGTGATAGAATAATGGAATAAAGTGTCCCTGCTCTCATGGAGCTTGCAGGACAGTGGAAAAGAAATAGTGAATAAATAAACATAATGGCAAGGGCTATGATTAAAGAAAAAAAAGTCAATGTAGCATTTTAGTTAAGGTGATGAGGAATAGATGCAATTTTAGGTAAGATGAAAAGGAGTGCCTCATGTGAATGTGGGAGAATAATGTTCCAGAGAGTAGGAAAAGAAAATGCAAGCTGCCTTGTGGAAAAAACTGCATTTGGTAGGTACTTAAATGATATAGTGGATCCTTCCTCTTGGCTCCTATAGTACCATCTTGCAGGGCTCAGAAGGTATCAATTTGAGAATGTGAAAGGAGCCAGTGAAACTGGAATGCATTTGGAGAGGTAAACTGAGTAAGTGATAAATCACAGAGAAAGCATGGCACCAGAACTGTAGGAACAAAGCTGGGTTTCAGAACTCCAAATAAAGAGGTTTTTCAGCAAGAGATAATGATGAATTTGACCTGAGTAATGGGAAGGACAGTTGGCTCTGTAAAAACAGGTTCTCTGTCCTCAGATTCAACCAATCATACATCTAAAATATTTGGGAAAAAATTATTTTAATATGTACACTTTTTTTCAGTGCTACTTCCTAAGCAATACAATTCTACAACTATTTGTATTAAGAATTGCAAGTTTTGTAGAGATGATTTAAAGCATGAAGGAGAATATGCATAAGTAATATGCAAATGTTAATCATTTTAAATAAGGGGCTTGAGCATCTAAGGATTTGGGCATCCATCAAATTCCTAGAACCAGTCCCCCATGAATAACATGAGTCCACTCATTGATTCCTGTTATATCTTCGGTTGTAGACCTGAATGAATTTACCATTGAATATTGGATATGAGAGAAAAAGAAAAGTAAATTTGTATTTACCATTAGGGGATGAATGACTAACTGGATGAATGGTTTTGCCATTGGTGCGATGAACAGGTTTGGGAAAAGAACATCTTGGAAGGAGTGGCAGGGCTAATGTCAGGAGTTTGTCTTAGATACCAAAGAAGGTTATACACTCTTAGTTACAAGCTATCTATTCTTGGCCTTAATACCCTCAGCAACTGATAGTATATAGGTTTAACTAGACTTTTAACTTTGAATTTTTAACTGTTCTTTTTAAATGTTCAGAACCATAATCAATGTTTTCACCTTACTTTAAAAATTTCACTAAAGTTACTTAGTTGGAACACCTAAAATGGCTCACAGTATAAAAACTTGCCTTACTACTACAGATTGTCTTAAACCTTTGTAACCTGTGCACCTGTATTCCTGACAGACTGTTTGACAGATTGTCTTAAACCTTTGTAACCTGTGCACCAGTATTCCTGACAGACTGTTTGACTCAACACTCAGATTTGGCCGAGGTCTAGAAGAAGCCTTAAAAAATTGGCTGCTCTTTGGAGACTGGCAACTGAGTTTTCAGACATCACTTAGGAGCAGTAACTGTCATTTTCCCTCTTCCTTTTGCAACCAATAAAGGCTGTTCATTTCCCCCCACCTAAAATTACTAAATGATCAAATCATGTTTTATTTATTTTTGACATGGAGGAATACACCTGCTATTTTGAACCTTAAATGTAAAAGTCTTATAAAATCACTATTAGTGTTTCTTTCTGCAAATGGTAGCACACAGAAACAATTGATATTCATGCAGCTTTTACTATGTATCAGGCACTGTGTTATGTTTTACCTTTTTATTTAATTAATATAGTCTACAGCTTGATAATATTGTCATCATCACACTTTAGGTAACTGGAACTTTGGAAGGAACTTTGTAATTTTTCCAAGGTTACACAGCTAAAATAGACAAGCAAAGGTATAACTCAAATCTTGCCTGCAGACTTCAGAGACACCCCCTCTCAGTCACGACAATGCATAGCCTCTTTGGTAAGTTAACCTAGTTCAAAACCCAAAAAGATACTGCTACCCATGACATCAACATCTGCCTATCTCTCTTACTTTCTTACTCTTCTTGACCTACCCTCTAATCCTTTCATAAATCTTAAAGCCACTGAGAAAGGAAGGCAACATGGTGCATCCATATTTTCTCATGGTGGTTCATATCTATCTATTTGGA